ATCAGTTGCTCTATGGGTGAAAAATGGGCAATCTCCCCTTGGGTGATTTACTGCCTCTGAAAACCCACAGAAGGATCAACTATGGTTCCCACTCAACAGTACACAACAATGTCAGGTATACCTAAATTTTTTCCTAATCTACTTCAATTTGCAAAAAAGGTATCACCATTGCACAACCTTGTTCAATTAGACTAGTAAAACTTTTCTATTTCTCAATTAGTCATATTTTCAATAGTCTCTGAAATGTCTTCTTGTTGTTGTTGTTGTTATGTGCCATCAGGGTTGCGTGCAACTCATAGTGACCCTATGTACAAGAGCCCTAAACCCTGCTTTACTATGTGCCAAACTCACAGTCTCTGACACACCTACTCCCATTTCCCCAATTACTGAATCAATCCATCTTATCAAGGATCTTTTTCTCTTGTGCTGTCCCTCCAAACATGATGTCCCTCTCCAAGGACTAATCCCTCCTTGCAACATGCCCAAAGTATGTCAGACGAAGCTTCAGAATCCTTGCCTCCAAGAAGCAGCCTGGTTTCACCCTCCATAGGACAAACCTGCTTATTCTCCTAGTAGTCCATGCATATTTAAAACTCATCTCCAGCACCACAGCTCAATGGCATCAATTCTCCTTTTATCACACCTAGTCACTGTCCAGTTCGCTGACACATAGCACACAACTGCGAAGACTGTGGCTCAGATCAGGCACACCTTAGTCTCCAGCATGACATCATTGCTCCAGTACTCTGGAGAGGTCCCTGACAGCTGACTTTCCCAATATCATTCATCTCTTGATTGCCTGCCTGCTAATACCAAGTGCTGACTGTGAAACCAAGCAAACTAAAACTGTTAACTATCTCAGTCTCTTCACCGTCCATAATGATGCTGCCATTTGGCCCAGTGGTGAGACTTTTTCTTGATGCTGACCTTTAATTCATATTGAAGGCTGCAGTCTTTGACCTTCTGCAGCAAGTGCTTCAGGTCTTGCTCAGTTTCGGCAAGCAGGGTTGTGACATCTACATAATGCAGACCGTTGATGAATCTTTCTCCAATACTAATGCCACTTTTCTCCTCATATAGCCACATACTAACTACCTTAAGAGCTAAGACTCTTCTTATTTTTGGTCACATCTTACTGAAATCTTATTATTTTCTGGTCACAATCTGCACTTTCCTCTCTATCAAATCAGTAACTTTCCTTCCTCTTATGTGATACCTCAAAAAAAAACAACCCAATTGTAGCATAGCTTCCATCTTTACTTTTATTCAAACAGTGAGATGGAATACTAGAATACAAATAAGTTATTTCATTGATTTTTATGCTCTGTCAAACATTTTTTACTAAATTCAATGTTTTCCAAATGACTCATAGCTATTTCAAGAATAATTAACAATCATTTTGGAATTGCTCAAATAAATATAAATGGAAAGGCAATTTCCACAGTACCAAATTGGAACTGTTCATTATAAATGAAAACCACATAAAGTATGAATCACAATAAAATGTTTTAGAACCTTCCTTATTAGTAATATAAACGACTAAAATACATGGGAGTAATAGAAATGATAAAATGCAACATTTTAGTTGTATGTGCTATAGGAATAATTATAAATATTCTTAACAGTATAAAATTATAAAATTTTTAGAGCTAAAAAGAAGCATACACTTTAACCTGACAATCCAAATACAGTACTAAAGCAGACCAGATGACCTAGAAACGAGAGACATATAAAGGTAACATTCACTAAGAAGAAACTAGGAAATTCAGGTCTACTGAAAGAAAACATCTATGTCACCATTAACCCCATATAAAATAGTAAATATCAGGGGGAAATATTGGAAGTGTTTTTTCTTGAGTGAAAGAGAAGTAAAGAGGGAGAGAAGAAAGAAAAATTCAAGTGGGGAAAAACTCAAAATGTGTATGTAAAAGTAAACAAAAATTGACTACATAAAATAATAATGTTTGATGTATGAGATTGGAATGAGTAGGTGAAATCAAGAGAGGAAAAAATAATCCTAGACAACAGCAACATCTAAAGTGGAAACTGGAAGAATGTAGTGGAAAATATTCTAAAGTCTTTATCAGGAAACAGGTTAAGTGAATTAATCAATCTTGCACTTGTCAAAACTTTTAGGGAAAGCATTAAAATAACTGAAATGTAAGGACAATGAAGGTCAATAAAAGAGATTTTTCAAAGACTTCCCACAAAAGAGCCAAACAGCCTAAGTATTTCTACAGTTACAACTAATGTAAATGAACTGCTGGCACTAATTTAATGACAGAAATTATCAGACTATATATTTTAAATAATGCTATTTAACAAAGTAGGGCGCGCCAGAGGCTTAGTGGTAAAGATTTGTGCTGCCAATGCAAAGACAGGCAGTACAAATCCACCAGCTGCTCCATGGTCTCCAAAAGAATAATTTATAATCAGGGGGGGGGGGGAGGCAGGGAATAGAAGTGCTTTCTTCAGTGAAAGAGAAGAGTAGAGTAAGCTACAAGCAGGCTCTGAGACAACACCTAAAAATAACACAACATTGAACAAAAAACTGTAATTTTTAAAAAAGAAATTTAAAACAGAAAGATTGTAAATATTAAAAAATAAAAAGATGCTGAAATATATATCATAGGAAAAACTAGCCAAAAAAGCATAGAGAAAAGTTAAATAATTATAAAATAAAATAGAGTTATACTAGACTTATACTGGTTGTACAGCTGGCTATAATACTGGTTATATATAAAAACTTGTATCGGTTGGCAAAAAGTGTAATTACATATTAATAAAAGATAAAACTGTAAAGATGGAACAACTTCAAATTTGCATGTACTTAATATATCTATATAATATATAAATAATAAAAAGAAGTTAACAAAACAGATCAAAAACACTTTCACAGTGAGAAATTTTAAAGACTTTTCACAGTAATATATAGTTTAATCTGCTAGATAGGAAAAAAAAACCTACATCAAAACTGATGTAACACAAATATATAAATTCCATTTAAGCACAATGAAGTATTTGTACAAAAATGACCTAGAAATAAAATCTAAAAACATAGTTACTTTCACATTATGGTCTTCCATCATAATTCAGTTAAGTCATGAAATATAAAAAGAACTGACTTTTACATAAGCAAATATACATACACATGCTTTCTCTAAAAATTCACCAGTAGGTGAGCTATGAGTTGGTTTCGAGATGATGGCACATAACCACCTCTATTAAGAAAAGTAGAGCTCCAATGGCTTAGTGGGGAAGAAACTGTGCTGTCAATCCAAAGGCATATTGGCTTCAACCCACCAGCTGCACCAAAGGAGAAAGATGGGCATTCTTCTGTCATGTGATATATAGCCTCTGAAAACCTGCTGGAGGTTCAACTATGAATCAACTCCAACTCAAAGGTACATAACAACAAAAGCATTAAATAAAATATTCTATGTATTTAAATGACAGCTGCTAAACTAAGTAGCTATAATGACATCATAGACCTCTGATACCATTTATTATCTACAGGGGGGAAAAAATACCTCCCACCTCCACATCTCTCAAAGTCTAAAACATATTCTCTTTCAAGCCATTTTCTTTTTTTATGAGAACAAGTAATAATAAATAAATTATAAAGAAAATTATAGCATCAGAAAGATCCTTTCACAGCATCACAAAGAAAAATTACCTTATTTAGATTATTTCAATGGTGCATTAAAATTAGCATAAAAATATCACTGCAATTAACTAATGTATGTGTTTTAACCCAATTAATATCTTCTGCTGCTAGGGACCTCTCCAGGGTTCTGAAGAGCAATGGTGTCACTCTGGAGACTAAGGTGCATCTGATACAGGCTACGGTCTTTGAAATTACTTGTAATGCATCAGCGAGTTGGACAATGACTAAGGAGGATAGAGGGAAAATTGATGCCTTTGAGCTGTGGTGCTGGAGAAGAGTATTGAATGTACCATGGACTGCCAAGAAAACAAACAGATACATCCCAGAGAGGGTTAAACCAGAATGTTCCTTGGAGGCAAGGATTCTGAGGCTTCGTCTGACATACTTTGGACATGTTGTAAGAAGGGAGAGGTCCTTGGAGAGGGACATCATGCTTGGGAGGGTGGAGGGATGGCGCAAGAGGGGAAGACTCTCTATGAGATGGATTGATTCAGTGACTGGGGTAATCGGGATGGGTGTGTCAGAGGCAGTGAGACTGGCACGAGAGAGAGCAGGGTTTAGGGCTGTTGTACACAGGGTCGTTATGAGTCGCAAGCGACTCAATGACACATAACAACACCATCACCAAATCTTAATTAATCTTTACTTCAAACTGCCTATTACATTACAATGTTTTTAGAAAAGGAAAATACAAAAGAACATTTTGACAATTTTTAAGACTCCTCCTTGAACATATATACCCAGTTTAACAAGAAGAACTGAAGTCAACAGTCTGAAAGTCAGAGTGAGCACAAGATGAATAATACAGTACACTTCCAACACCTACATGGCCTCCACTCCCATAAAACTAATCTTCTCACAGGAAGCATCAATACACAAAATAGCTCACTCAATTTACCAAATGAATTACCATAGGTATGTTTCTTTTTTGTTGTTTCAGTGTATGTATCACCATTAAAATTTGCTATTCTTCTCTTCCTGTGTAATGTGTGAGTATTAAAAGTGGCATTGTGTTGCAAGGAAAATAAAAAATTACAAGTAGATACCTACCTTCGCTAACATAAAAGCAAAAGCAAAACAAAACAAAACAAAAATGAAAAACCATATTAAAATACTCAGAATAAAAGACTAAAGTATCTGAAATTTCTTAGGAAACTGACCACATATCTGTGATTTCCAAAGCAACTATAAATTTTGATTATGGAAGATGCATGTTACTTTAAATGAGAGCTTCAAAGGAATATTCACATTTCAAAATAAAATCTTGAAAATTTAGACTTTGGTTTAAAAAAATGAAGAAAATTTAAAACATAACCAGAAAAAGGAATTTTACCAAATATGTTAGTAGAGTGTCCTTTCCTTGCAATTGGCTTGAGTTCATTATGCCCCCATCCATATAGCCTGTAATTATCCCAGGCATGTTTCATCATCTGAGAAAGAAAAATTATAAAAATCATCAGTTTAAAATTATTTTTAAAATGTTATTTTTATACCTCAAATAGTTTTGTGAGCCTATTACTACTACTACTATTACATTCTTATACATTTTGTGATAGTCACACATTATTATAACAATATTTAGCTTTGGTTTACACAAAGTAGAAAAAAACATTAGGATTTGTAGATAAGACAGTACTTTTCACTAGAGAGGAAAAAAGTCTATTAATTGTCCATTTAAAAAACTACACTCCTTTTAAGTAGTTCTGGTGGCCTAGTAATAACAAGATGTGCGGAAATCCCAAAGGCTCATGTTTTGAATACACCAGCAGCTCCTGGGGAGAAGGATGGGCAATCTTGTTCTAAGTAATTGCCTCTGAAAACCTGCTAGAGTGTCAGCTATGGGTTTGTTCCAACTCAGTGTAAAATCATCACCGCTGTGGTATTAAGGGCTTATTGTTCAAAACAGCTTCACTAACCACTGACTAACTTTGCCATATGATATCTGCCAATTTTGCGCGCTAGCCTATCCAAAAGGGGATTGGCTATTCTTGCCAATCTTCAAGGGAAGTCGTAACTCAGCACATTAAATTAAGTAGATCCAACAGCAGAATTGGAAAACCTCATCACCAGCAAAGAAAAACAGGCATGCAGAGATTCAAAGCCAGAGACTCCTGCACCAGCTAGATGTATAGCAGGAACTGCCTTGGCTGAACCAGAGGACCAGAGACCTGAGATGAACGGGAGTTAACCTTGGGACAGCTATCCCCCAAGGAATCAGAAAAAGAACCTTTGCCAAAGTTTGTTATAGAGGACTAGGGGACAAAGATGGGTGAGTCATAATTGTCAGAATTGAGCGCTTAGTGACATGGTTCAATGCAGAGGTTCCTGTGAGCACATGTCAGCAGCTGTTCTAAGTGAGTGTTTATCAGCTATCAAACTGAATTACAACCCTTTTGACTTTCCTAGTGTGATTCTGCAGGAATTACCAAACAGTATCATTGATATCACATGCAAGCAAAATTCTGCTGAAGATTATCAAATAACGACTGGAACAGCTTTATCAACAGAGAACTGCCTGTAGTGCAGGCTCAGTTTAGAAGAAGCCGTGGTACTAAAGATATTACAGCTAATGTTAGATGGATCTTGGCCGAAAGCAGGGACTACCAGAGGAATGTCAGTTTCATTGACTATGCAAAGGCATTTGACTGTGTGGATCACAACAAATTGTGGCTGACTCTGAGAAGAATGGGAATCCCAGAACACATGATTGTGTGTATGTGAAAACTGTAATTGGTAGCATCAGGATGGATGAAGAGATTGAGACTGTTAACAGCTTTAGTTTACTTGGCTCAACAGTCAACGTTCTCGACACCAGCAGCTAGGAAATTAAAAGACATAATGCGATGGAAAAGAATGCTGTTAGAAATCTCTCTAAAGTCATAAAGAGCAATTATGTCACTCTGGAGAATAAGGTGTACCTGATACAGGCCATGATCTTTGCAATCACTTGCTATGAGTCAGAGAGGTGGACAATGACTAGGGAGGATAGAAGGA